ACGAGTTGTTACATATTTCGACAAAAACGTCTTTTTTGGGTAGAAAATGGTGGTATACTTATCTTAGAAAACTCATAATCTTCAGTTTTGTATAAAGAACCAGATTTCATCACGAAATTTAATATAAATGAAAATTTAAAAAAATATATACAAGATAAGTGAAAAAGTATAAATTCGTGCGAATCCGAACTTTATATACCCGGCGCAGGTATCAAATATCGACTTTTCAACTTTCTCTAAACTACCTTTGCATGATAATCGGGACTGTTTCAAACGTTTTCGATAATATGCTGAGTTAGACTTAATGATATAATTGAACAAAGTTTGGTAGAAATTGATAAAGTGGTTACCGAGATACACCTTTGTAGTCACTGTAGCAGTCTTATTTATTGTTAAGAGATTGTTGTAACTACACTGGTCTACAAATTTCAACTTTTTTTCTGCGAATAAGACGGGACCTGGTGTTTCTGAACGGATTTTTCGTGCTGAACACGAATCCGGGGTCAAAAATGTCCCATCACGTCACGTTTTCGAGAAAAAAGGGGTTGAAACCCCTAAAAACAGCGTTTTTGGCCATTTTCGAAAAATTATAGAGCTGAACCCTGACGTGGTACAAATTTTGCATATATCAGAAATTAAAGGCTAAACCGTGCCCTTTCGAATGAGCCCTATGCCGAATTGATCGCGTGCACCCTTAAAGCAGGGGGTGTATTTGTGTTTAGGGGTGCAGGAAAAATTGATCACAGAAAGAATTTAATCTTAAACGATCATAGAAAATTAATAATGCCAAGGTTTTAACTATATTAAAAGTCGCTGATTTCGAATCTGCAGTTAGATTTTAAAAATTTAAGATGACGGGTCGAATATGGTGGATATAAAAAATAAACTGAAATTCGCTAAATAAAAATTTTTAAGTCCGCCATATTGGATCCGCCATTTTGAATTTTTAAAATCTAACTTCAGATTCGTAATCAGCGACTCTTAATGTAGTTAAGACCTTAGCATCATTCATTTTATATGGTCGTTTAAGATGAAATTCTTTCTGCGATCAATTTTCCCTGGACTCCTAGACACAAATACACCCCCTGATCTAAGGGTGCATGCGATTAATTCGGCATAGGGCTCATTCGAAAGGGCACAATTTAGCCTTTAATTTCTGACATATACAAAGTTTGTAGCACGTCAGGGTTCAGCTCTACAATTTTTCAAAAATGGCCAAAAACGCTGTTTTTAGGGGTTTCAACCCCTTTTTTCTCGAAAACGTGACGTGATGGGAAGTTTTGGACCCCAGATTCGTGTTCAGCACGAAAAATCCGTTCGGAAACACCAGGTCCCGTCTTATTCGCAAAACCCTTGTAGACCAGTGCTATTAATTTGGATTAAATTGGCGTGCTCAATTGTTGAAAAATCGGAGTTTTCGTATTTCTGAAATTTACCGCCATACGAAAAGCGGGTGTAGTTTTAGTCCGATTTGAAAAATTTTTAAGGAATTGGTTTTCCGTTCCAAGGTTACCGAGTTTGATAGAATTTGATAAATCGGTAACCGAGATACACACTTGGGCGCCGCGCCCACTATCCAAAAATTGTTAATAATCTAATTTTCTGCTAAGTGGTTATTGCAGTCACCGATTTTAAGTGAATAAGCTTAAATAGTTACTGATTTATCGCAGTTTTCCCGTTTCTGTAAATTACCGTTATATGTAAGTGGGCGTGGTCATTCCCCGATTTCAAAGATTTTCAACAGTTTTCATGGCTAGACCCTAGGCAAGGCTCGTACGGAGTTTAGTAAAGATTGGTGAAGCGGCTACTGAGATACAGCATTTGATCAAAAGCGGCTTCAAAATTTTATCATAAAAATTTTATGATAATAATTTTTACCAAAATTTATTTATTTATATATTTTTTTTTTCATCGATTTGGTTATGGAAATTTGTATCGATATTGCTATCGCTATTTTTGGAGATTATCGATATAATAATCGGTATTTTTATCGGTTTTGTTATCGATTTTGTAATCGATATTATCAGAGACTTTTTAAACAATAGTATTATCGATTTTTTATCGATATTTTTATGGATTTATCTATCGATATTTTTATCGATTTTGTAATCGATATTTTTATCAATCTTGGTATCGCTTATTTATCGATTTTTAGCGATATTTTTACCGATTTTATTATAGATGTTTTATCAAATTTGTTTTCGATTTTATTATCGATATTTACATAAATTTTTTATCGATATATTTATCGATTTTGTTATTGATATTTTTATCGATTTTGTTATCGCTTGAATGGTCTAAAAAACTGTACACTCCAATTTTTTGAAAAACATCTGATAAACACGTTTGAAATTTGGTGAAAAAATTTTATGAATTTTCCTTACTTTTCTCAAAAGTTTGAAATTTTGATTTAAATAAATGGTTTTAGTAGTAGAATGAGCGATATCTTTGTAAACAATTAAAGATAAAAATTTACCATGAACAGGTCTATTCTGCGCTGGTAATAAAAAGTTTGTAACCGGTAAATAAAGTTCCTGACAATTTTTAGACCCTTTTCGCATTCTGTATACTCTTGTAACCGGTAAATTTTGTTACCATCTCATAAGCTGGTAACAAATTATTGCCCCGTGAAATATGCAAGGCCACGATTTGCACAATTCTTCATAGCTGAATTGCTGAATATTTTAACTGCATTACCAATGTACCTAGAATCGCGGTGACAAGAACTGGTAACATTTTTTGGTAATACAATTTTCCGGTTACAAAATCTTCGGTAACGTGCAGAATAGACCTGGAAACGCTTTTTGGATATCGCAAATAAAAAAAATCAACGCAAAATAATTCTGTGAGTCACTGTGCATACTATATGCATATGTATATGGGAGGATGTGCAAGTACTTGTAACGATATAAGTATGCAATGCGAAAATCTAACTACGCATAATTTGTATCTTCAGTTTACTCACCTGTAATTTGAGGCGGTGCACTTCTATCGGCACCACAGACAGAATAGGAAGTTCTTCCACCAATATTTTAGGATGTGAGCGTGCGAGTTGCATAATATCCATGTCCCAACGTGCGCCCTCCAGGAACAGACCTTGAATATAGCAGCCCTGCGCACACACACAACCAAACATAGCAGCGGTAAAGGTGGTTGTCAACAGCATTGTTGTAATTATTGTAGTTGGCGACGATGTGCGCGTGGTCCGTCATTGCGGTGGAGGCGAAATTTAACGAAAAGCGGTCACGAGCAAAAACAAAATAAAAAAGAGATTTTTTTTTTTGTAAAAAGCTTATGTAAATACTCGTAAGTGTGCATCTGTTCGCGCGCAAGCTTATTTGGATGCTGCGTTGAACGGATGGGTCAGCGCAAACAGAATTTTTAATTGCGAAATTAGTGAAGTTCAGGTTGTAGCTGACTTTTGTGAGCCTGTGCCTGATACATATGGAAATCAGTGAAGCTTTTACCGTAGATGGTTGGATGATATGTTGTGGTCACAGTACTACAAAAAAAAAGCTGATGGACGAATCAACGACCTGTGCGCGAGAGTTTTCCCAATACTTTTTTTTTTTTTTTTCACTTATGCATGTGTAATTTTTTTGGCGGTTTTGGCTGTTTGTCTTTGTACATATGTACTTACCGTTGCTGGCCGCTCCTCCACATCATCAGGATCTAAGTAGCTGGTGACGCAGGTATATAAGGTGGATCTGTCTAGCGGCCAACCGTTTTTACGACATGCCATCTGCGGTTGATAAGGCAAAGAGTTTAAGCAAAAAAAGTGAGTTATGAGAGAGTCTTAAAATATTTAGTATTTAATATAATTTCGTATAATGTACATTTATTTTTGCAATATTATTTAAACCAGAAAAAGTTTTTGATGAAATTTTATGGAAATTTTGACAGAGAGTAGCAAGCCCCGAAAGTATTTTTTTTTGCCAACATTTGGTAATAATTTTTTAAAATGGCTAGTGCGTCATTCGCAATACTACGCTGCGAAAAATACATTATATCTTGCAAACACCTCGCACTCGCGAAGCAGGGGGAGTGGAGTCTTCTCGATCGAATGACAGAAGCGATGTAAGTCCTTCGACCAGATATTTAGCTTATGCTGTCTGGAGTGACCCATCAGATCAACCGTTATTATACTTAACCTCTATGTGGTGTGATAACACTGCAGCTTGTAGACCTACGATGTTACCCCACTTTTGTTCTCTGAGTCTGTTACTCCCCGTCCTGAGCTCTTCCATGATTGTGCTAGTTCCGAGCGCAAGGAAGCGCTCAGGCCCTATAGGAGTCGAGGCGAACGCCCATATAGCTGGACGGAGACCTGTTTACCAAACTGCAAACGACGATTGCGTTGTGTGTTGTATGGGAGATTTTCCTGCAAAAGGCTGTGGACTACGTGGTTGAAAACAGAGAGCGAGTTTATACATATGTCTAAATACTTCAAACCTAGTTCAGTAATCTAAGTCTAGACCAAATCGTGTTGAAGTACACAACAACTTGTTTTACCCTGGGTGCCAGATCAGTCGGAGTACCTGGTAATGAGACATCGTCAGGCTCAACGACGGGGCCAGAACAAAAGGAGATGTGAGCTAGCTGTTTGGATCGGCGAACTCCACCAATAGTCTATTAGCCCCATGTCTCAAAATTGTACCAAGTAACGGCCGGGGATCTTTACTTATACTGCATTAAATGGCCGTTTAGTGGCTGGATAAAGCGATTTCTGACTAAACAGTACCTCAATGTGGCTTCTCTATAAGACGCTAGCTAGATGGAAATGAGTAGTGCCAGTCCAATTAAATTTCCAGCACGCAGTTTTATTATATGTAGTTTTTATATGCTCCCAAACTCCGCCTGTTTAATAAAACAAACGCTTGAAAATATATTCAATAAAAAAACTTTAACATTTTTTCTAACGTCAAAAATTCTATATTTTAATTTTTATCTCTGATAAGCCTCTTTAAGTGTGCATTAAATAAACATTATTCTTCATATTTTTATTTTTCGTATTTTTTAGGGCTTTTTTCTAAACCACTATTTGCTAGCCACTTTTCAATTTTTTTTTTGTCTTTTATTATCATTGTAGTATATATCACAGCGCATAACTCACCTGCACCAAAGCGGTTAGATAACTTTGCGGAATATGTAGACCAGACAACCAGATCACCAACGGTTCACCTGACATGGCCCAATACTTGAATTGTGTAGAACGATTCTGCAGCAGGTGCCCAAGAAAACAATTCGTGCAAACGGGAAAGACGGAAACAAAATAAATTATTAATAAATTGTTTTGGTGATGGCTTTGGATTTTTCTCCGCCATTCCTTTGAGTTTGTTGAGCCGTTGAGCTACTTAACGGTGCTGAGCGTTTGTGATTGATAGATGAAACTGGCCGACCGCATATTGATGGCAAAGCCATTTACCATTACCGTAGTGATTAATGAGCGCATATTAACAGTTTTCGGCAGCAACGGTTAAAATAACCAACGGGAATGGCTGTGGGCTAACAAAAAAAGGGAAGCGGGAGCACTGAGCAATCACAGCACAACAACACTGAATGCGTACGTAATATTACATTGGCCCACAATAATATTTTATGTAACATAAATAAGTGGATTGTTTATTTACTTTTGCTTTTCTGATTATGCATATTTATGTGCATATGCATTTATGTATGTGTGTACATTAGACTGCATCCCCAATAAAAGTTGCGGTTTTTTTCACCGGGATTACAAAATATATTACATTTGAAGACGTCCACCAAAATAGTTCGAAAAAAAATATTATGATTTAATTGAGAGTTTTATGAATAAAAATGTTTGCTTAAAGGATTTTATGACAAAACAGTTTAAGCTTAAAAAATCTGCATAGAAATATTAAAAGAAATTTTCGACGGAAGCATAATAATGAGATTTTTGATGCTGGTTTTTAACCATTTTTCACAGATTGGTTTAAGCAAAACTTGAAATAATGAGGCAAAACTATACCAAACTCACCTTTTTGGTTTCTTTGCAAAAAACCTCAATTACGTCCCATTATTTTTTTTAATACCAACACATTTTGTGAAAATTAAAGCTTTAACTGTTTTTTATCATCCGATGTAATTAAAAAAAAAATGCCTTAATAAATTGTATTCATAAAAAAAAAAAAAATTGGGAGGTATTTTACATAAATCTTAAAATATAATAGGTTTTATAACTCTAATGGAAAAACAGTACCGATTTTTTTTTTATAGAGAGTGATGCAGTCTAATGTTCCTACATACATACACACATACGATTGGGTTTGTGACGAAGTTGATGGCTGTGCACAATCTCGCTCCTTTCTCAAATTTGCTTTCTTCTTATGAAAATCGTTAGCACAACACCGTTCAGGTACTAAGCCAAAGGCTGCCACAAAAAAAATAAACAAAAACATGAAATCAAAGAAAAAAAAAATGTATGTGGTTCGTATTTACTTTACTGTAAATATTTTAAATGAAATAAAAACTTAGCTACGGCCTGTGTAGGTTGCAAGAATGCAAAATGCATTTCTGCATTTAATCTTCACCTGCAAATGTTCCATCCAGCTGCCGAGCTGCTTGCATGTGTCCGGCGCCAGTTTGCGCCAATCGCTTGGCAACAGTCCATTGAACAGCGAATTGGCGATATTGTCCAGCACATTGTCCATTCCGATTTCGCCGGCGATGGCCTATAAAAATGTATGCAAATATGAATGTCAGATATAATAAAGTTATACTTTTCAATAAATATTTTATTTTTCACAACACTTTTCACATACTACGAAGGCACTGTGGGTTGAATATGGTGTTTTGCATACAAATCATACTCAGATTATTACTTTAATTTTACTAAATGCTAATATATTTACTTATTTTCGCTGGAGTAAGTACTGAGAAAAAAGTATTTTGTAACTTTCGATTAGAGAACGACTTCACAAATAGCCAGAATTAAAGTATTACCTAGTATTTATCCCTTCTTAAACACCGTATAACGAAGTAATACCGAGAATTTTCGAAAATCTGGAAATAATACCAAAATAAAGAAAAGTCACAAAACATAAAATTGAGGAAAGTGCTAAAAACCAAAAAGCTCTTAAAAATCCCAGAAAGTAAAAAAAAAATATCAGAAAAAAAAATTAAATGTTTAGAAAATCGCGAAGCATTTAATTACATCGTCAGTACTCAAAAAAAAGCTTAAATTACCTATAATTCTTGCTTGTCTTGAACTGTTAGAAATCTCTGAAATATCATAGTACTTTAGTATTCATCGCTAACAAATAATTTAGTGCTTAATGGTGTTTTTGTTTCTAAAAAAATGTCGCCTTTTGATTGCACCTTTCTCATTTCATGTTTGATTCTAAAGTAAAGGCAAAGAAAATTCTGTGTTATTTATTTAAAATCTCACACTCTAGTAAAAAGGCATATTCTTTGCCCTTTCCAAAATATTATGGCCCTCCGTGGTGCAAGATATGATTAATATATAAATAATATTAATATTAAGATTATTAGGATAAATATTAAGATTAAAAAATGCGATTGACATTCAGATTGAGATAATTCTTTATTGCTATACATATGTGACTACAACTTCGTTGGAGCCTTTGGCATGAAAAAGAGATTGAGTCTATTTACATATTAGTAGGAATGCCAGATTCTGCCGAAATTCGACCGTTTTCTAATTTTTTTAAGAGCCTTGGAGGGGTTTTCCAACTTAGCACGTCGTTTAACTTATAAGCCTTTGAGACACATCAAGTCATGAAATAAAATTTTTCGCGTCTTGTTTGTGTTTTATGTTGCTTCTACACGCGTCAACTAATAGTGAATTCAAGTCATTTGTTCTTTAAATGGGAAGCAACTCGGCAGGACTTGAAAATTGCCGATATATTCCAGTTCTTCGATTAATTTCGACCATTTGATACATAGCGATAACTCGATTAATTTAAATAGCACTAAAATAACAACAAAATTCGATAAATCGACGGATTTCGATAAATTTCGATAACTTCGCATTTCTCGAGTTTCGATAAATATCGATTACTTGATAAATTGTAATAATTGATAAATTTCTAATAAATTATAATACTTGAATATAACTTGAAAACTCTCGATAACTAAATTTTTTATGACTGAATTAATTTCGCTTCATATCGATAAATATAAAAAATTACCCTATATCTTATGGATTTCTCAAAATTTCAATTTCGTTATTATCTTGAGTTTTTCCTTCAGGTTTTTGTCTTAATCGTTATCATTTATTTCTTCATCATCAAATTTATCTTTATTGCAAAGTTGAATTTCAAACCCAAAGTAAAAGTACGTTTCCACGAGCCCCAAATTTCGTAATTTGGGCACCATTATCAATTTCAGCTTGACATTGTGATATGTTTCTCAATTTGGTCATAGAAAAAAAATGTTAGCTGAATTGAACAGTTTGCAACAACAACTACATATACACAAATACGACAATTTTGGCCGTAACTTTCAACCACTTTTGATAAAAACTCTCCTCATTTACAGAAAAATACCTTTGCAAAGGTGTCCTTGGTTTTAAAATCGGTTTAGTTGAATGCCAAATGAACGATAACAAAGATTATGTTAGCGTATTAATATATATGTAGATACAAATTACAGTAAGATATACATGAGTCAAATGATCCCCTATAATTTACTCACGATCGTATTCGTATTGTCGTTTCCATACGACCGTCAGAAGTGTTACTGTGAATTTTATTGTGAACCAACACAAATCAGCTACGCTAACTATCGGATTCCATACGACAAACATCGATACGAGAATGCAAGCATTTATCGCGCTTCGCACGTATTCATAATAGTATAGCTAGTTAAATGAGCTGGCTCCTAAGACTCAGTTGGAGTAAAATTGTGCTACTGGCAGCTGATTTCGTCACAGGATCCCTAAAACTGAACTAGACGCAAGAGCTATCCGCAACGCTCTTCTTATGGAGGCAGACACCATACATTTTTCAATGAAAAAGAACTGAAGCATGTATGTAAGTGTGTATGTATAATATTTGAGGCATCTGGGATAAACATAGACCTTACCACGTAAGCATTTTAGTTATGATAAAAAGCAGAAAACTTACGGCCGTTTCCACCTAAATACAAGCGTAGCAAACTACCGAATTACGGTATCAAAACTATTTAAAACATAACTTTCCATTGTGGAAATGTCTTTTCGAATCTATGTATTTGTTTCACTTTGAATCTCATCTATTATCGCCTCACTGTGCCCCGCCAGCGTTGTGATTGGCAACGCACACAGTTGCGTCAGCGGCTGCAACACTGGTTGCCACCAACGAATAGCAAAAAAAGAAATTGCAGCGGCGAAATTCTTCCATAACGAAATTGTGGCACAATGACAGCAAACGGTCAGTCATTTCAATTATTCACAGCAACAGCGGTGATGGCATCGGCATCGGCAACAGAAACTAAACGCCAAAATTGCTAATAACATTTTTGATGATTATTTGCGTCAATAATGTTGCATTTGCGTGTTTGCGTAAAAATGCGCATTTCCGTACCAATGCAAATGAAGTAGAACATCGCGGGGCAACAATGTGTGTGGCCTGCACGAAACAGAGCCAAAATTTTGTGTATTTAGGAGCACAGAAAGTCTGATAGTCAACCATGCGCGAAATGGCGACCAATAATAGTTTGTACGCAAATTTATGTGTTTGCATTTTATGATTGTTTAACTGTCACAGTTAACTTTAAAATACATATACATATGTATGTATGTAGACCTTTGGATGTGACTTATTTTATTTTAAAGGCAAATGAGTACAATTGAAAGCGTTTATGGGCGTGTTATGTTAGACAAAAAAACTTTAAATTTTTTTTTGTTTAAATCATGTTGTGTCTCTTGCGTAATTGTCAGTTATATGCTTCCTAGGAAATGTAAGCATGTACTATGACCTGAATATGTATAGATTTTTTTTCGTGTACATCCAGTTATTATTGCAGCATTTTGGCAACATCTGAACTTTTTTCTATTATCGCTGCTAGGGTTATTTATTTGTTGTCATCACCCACAGTGCTTACCGACTTCCATAAACGAAACTTTTATTTTCCGCCCTTTGAAACTATTTGCTTTTAAATAAAATTAAATGTTCATCTACTACCCGTATGTAAGCAGCATGTATGTACATAGATATGTATCGGCATTAGAGTCGATATTCTCTATACATACATATGCAAGCGATTATGTTTTTTTTCCACCCATTGCAGCACAAACAAATCTATTTTTTAGGTTAGAAAATTCAATTTTCTGAGCACTATTCTTTGTTTTTTTTTTGCTGCTGCCTCTGTTGCTGTCATGTCATTTTGTTGGCGCAGTAAATACGCTTGCAAATGCAAATGCACAGTGACGGCTCAGCGAGATGTACACACTGTTTTGGCCATAGTAAGCCAAACTGGGAAAGAATTGAAAATATGTATGTATGTCAATGTGCTTCAGCACAAGAATTTTTACTTTTATTCTTCCCCAGAAAAAAAAAGATACGTTTCAAAAATATTTATATTGAAAGAAAAGTGGTCGAAATCGAACTAAATATAAGTAAATGTCTATGTAGAATAATGATGCACTAATATTCTGTGAAGATTGCTGGCGCTCTTCACGCAAGAATAATTCTGAAGTTGACAAAATAGCTGAGGGATTAAACAAAGCTTTTGAGTTTTAAGTACAATTCACTCGCTGAGTTGGGAATGTGGAAAATATGACTACTACAAAAAGCAATCGTTAAGCCTTAAAATGCGTTAGATGCGCCGGATAATTGTCCAGGTAGAAATTTCCCAGATGAGTCGTTTTTTT